CTTGCTTGTTCTCTTTCATATTTGTATCCTTATAATCACTAAAGAAATGAAAGTTGCTGACAAATGCATGAATAATAATTAAATAAATATGGAGAAGCATCCAAAGTATAGCATTTTCATTGAAATCATACGAATTTTAAACATGCGAGTAAAATATACTTGCTGGTGCATACCTTGCTACAGCATTTGCATAGGCATGGATTCCTTATTCATGATATTTGGAGGTATTCATGACCAGCAAGGGTGAGAAATACTTGCCAGCACAACCTTGCTTGTTCTCATTCATATATTGTGTGCTTACAATCACTAAACAAATGACAGTTGCTAGCGAATGCAAGAACAATAATTAAATAAATATAGAGAAGCATCCAAAGTATACCATTTTCATTGAAATCACATGAGTTTTACTTATAAGAGTAAAATATACTTGCTGGTGCATGCCCTGCTACAGCATTTGCATTAGGCATGGATCCCTTATTCATGATATTTGGAGATATTCGTGATCAGCAAGGGTGAGAAATTTTTTCTTTTAACACATTAATATACTGTGGATTTGCCAGTTTTCCATGCTGTTGGAGGAAAGATTCCAGTTCTATTCGATGGAGGAATAAGGTGGGGAACTGATATCTTCAAAGGATTGGCCCTCGGTGTACAAGCTGTCCTGGTAAGATCTTTCGCATCCAACTATTCCTTAGATCTGTTTAAAATTTATTTTTCCTGTCTTGTGTTCATAAGCATTGGCAATACTATTTTGTATTTTCACCTGTTATGCTTCTCAATTTCTTTTTTAACAATAAAATTATGCTTTTCTAATCTTTATCCTTACCTGTATGTATTAGCATAAATTCTAAGTACTGCAGATTGGGAGGCCTGTTGTCTTCAGGCTTGCATCAAAGGGAGAACATGGGGTAAGAAGGGCTTGTCTTCATGCTGAAAGATGAGCTTGAGCTTACCATGGCCCTTTCTGGGTGCCCTAGCGTGAAAAATATTACCTGAAACAATGTAAGCACACGGCGCGAGACTCCAGTCCATGCTGTAGGACCCTTCCAAGGATGCCCTCCACATATTGGTTCGTTCAGATTTTCATTCTTCAAATAATATTGGGTTCATCTAGGGCTGAGTACGAGTATTGGTATATTTAATATTTGTGGATACTTGACCTATTCGGGTGGTTATATTATTGTACCTGAAAAGCATACTTGATCCATACTTATATATATAATTATAGATATATTTACACACAAGTTTTATACTGTCACATTTACACAAAGTTTTGATTATTCATCTTTCAACTTTTAATGATTGAGATTTATTCACTTTTTATTATATTTATTAAAATTAATGATTTTTTTATCTAAAAATTGTAATAAATTTCAAATATTGAAAATGAAAAGATGAATGGACAATATTTTATATAAGTGTAATATGTAAAATTTGTATATAAGTGAATCTTTATTTATGGCCCTGTTTGGTATAGCGGTTTTGGGATAGTGGTTAGCGGTTTTACCTAACCCGCTAAATATAGGTGTTTGGTAAATTTATATATTTCAAAACCGTTACAAATAAAGTGTTTGGTAAAATTTTTATTTAACGGTTTAAGACTAGTAAATAGCGGTTAAAGTCTAAACTGTTAAAGAATTGAAAAAGTTAGTTTATGTAACTTTTTATATCAAACCGTTAGTGGATTAAATTTTTTTAATTTTATTGACAAATTTATC